TCTTTAAAAATCATACAATGTGATTTCCTGAATTTTTTTTTTAATTCTGTCTCTCAGAGTGGGAATGCACCTACAATGTGAATTTCAGACCCCTCCATGATTTCTAAGTGGGAGAACTTGCAAAATCGCAGGGTGTTCAAATACTTCTGTTCCTCACTGTAACACAAAAAAATTCTGATCGTTCATGGCTTTTTTGAGAACAACCATAAAAACCCCATAGTGCTAGTGGAAAAAGTATGTGAACCCTTGAGTTAATTACATCAAAAAAGCTAATTGGAGTCAGGTGTTAGCATACCTGGAGTCTTGTTAAGGAAATAACCCCAAGAGCACAATGAAGACTCATCAATGAGAAAAAGAAACAACCCCGAGTGACAGCCAAAAATTTGAAGGAGTCACTGGAACTGGCTAACATCTGGGTTCATGAGTCTACAGTACGTAAAACATTGAACAAGCAGGGTGTCTATGGCAGGACACCACGAAGGAAGCTGCATGCCTGAAGTTTGCGAAAGAGCACACTGACACTCCACAGCATTACTGGCAAAATGTTTTGTGGACTGATGAAACTAAGACTGAACTATTTGGAAAGAACATGCAGCACTACATCTGGTGTAAAAAGAGCACTGCAGATCATCATGAAAACATCATCCCAACCGTAAAGTATGGCGGAGGAAATATCATGATTTGGGCCTGTTTTGCTGCATCAGGGCCTGGCCAGCTTGCAATCATTGAGGGGAAGATGAATTCCCAAGTGTATCAAAAACTTTTTCAGGATAATGTGAGAATGTCTGTACATCAGCTGAAACTCTGTAGAAGTTCGGTGATGAAACAGGACAATGACCCAAAACACCGGAGCAAGTCCACAACAGAATGGCTTCGGAAATACAAAATCCACCTTTTGGCATGGCCAAGTCAGAGCCCAGACCTTAACCCAATAAAGATGCTGCAGCAATACTAATACTAATGGCGGCTGTGGCTCAAGAGGTAGAGCGGGTCGTGTCCTAACCGGAGGATTAGCGGTTCGATTCCGGGCCTGTCCAGTCAACATGTCGAAGTGTCCCTGAGCAAGACACTGTACCCTCAGTTGCTCCCGGTGATGTCACCGGTGTGTGAATGTGTGAGTGTTTGGGGGTGCAAATGGGTGAATGGCCAAATAGTGTGAAAGCGTTTTGAGTGTGCTGTAAAGCATAGAAAGGCGCTATACAAATATGACCATTTACCATACAGGTGTACCTTGGAATATAGTTTCCATATGTATAAGCAGCGAACAGCCTATCAAATCTGTTACTCTCCATTGCTTCAGCTGAGAGAATGCTGACCTTTTTACGAGCCTTCTCTTCTTTAGCTTGAGCCTTCATCTGCTGCACTTCAATGGAGTCCACCTTCCTCCTCCTCATGAATAGATCGTGGTTACCAATGCAGAGCTGCAGGATCTTTAGGCACAGGTGATGCAAATCAGCAATATCTTAGTTCATATACTATTCACTGAATTTTGTTTTATATTTGAACACTAACATGGACAAACAGTTAAACCAACCAGCTTGTTGACACGCAGTTGAGATGAGTAGAACTTGAAAACATCCTTCTTCTTGTCCAGAGGTTTTATTGTGAACTGCAGCAGGAAAATGTTAATCATTTCGCTACTTCTGCACTACTGAAATTGATTTTTTTACTGCATGTATTTACTGTTTTGACAGACAGCACAGCTTTGAGGTGTTTATAAGAGATGACTGATTAGAGTGAAAATCTTATACTAAAAGGTTACAGGTTTTTATAACAAGATGGACATTAATTGAAGTGTTTTAATTCAGGCAGGAGAACAGTGACAGGTGCAATAATAATAATAATAATAATAATAGTACACATAACAGATATTTATTTAAGCATATTTTAAAAAAATATTAGAGATGTGATATTTTCATCAGTTTACAGGTGAAAAAGTTGCAAGATGTCCCATTTTTTATACGTCTTCCAAAATGACAGAAAATAAAAATAAAATTCACATTGTAAACTGTTTCTGGACAAAGACAGAGGCCATTACTTGTATTTACCTCCTTTTCACTGTAAGAAATATTGCGGATGCCGCTCCAAGGAAAGGACTTGTTGGGATTAAGTTTGCTGCTGGGGCTGTAGATGTGAAGACCCTGAGCATCCACTCCAAGTAACAAATCTGTGTCCCTCTTATTTTGCTGTCAATGTGAGGCGTTAAACAGAAATGTTCATCATCATGAAAGTTATGATATGGGTGCATTTTTCTTTATAAAATTTATCAACAAAAATATACACTCACAGTAATGGCAAAGTAGCTGACACCGTACATCTCAAGGTCCTGAGCAATCTTTAAGTATTCCATCTCAGCTTCATCTCTGTATGGGCAGCAAAGGTTAAATCCATCAAACCAAGGTACAGAATCTGAGACTACAGATTTTGTAAAGGTGTTAATTTCTCTATACATGCAGGATTTTAGCAGCTCTCCTGGGTCAGTCCTACCTGGCGATGCCTCTATGTTCTGCGTACCAAGCTGTGATCTTTTCCTCCCACATGTCAGCTGTCATTTGATACTGCATTAGAACCTGTGAAACACACACAGGAAACCACAGGAAAAAACATTACATACCATATGCACAGACACACACCATTACAAAAACACCAAAGTGATGATTACTACAAATAAACAATGTGCTATAAGTTACTATTGTGGGCAGACAAATGTGTACTTACTCTTTTTGGCAAAAGCTCATCTTGCGCCAGGAAGCCCGGCTTGTGAAAGTTTGGGTCATAGTCACCATACTGTGAGGGACAGTGAGATTTGGGGTGGGGTGGGGTGTATGTTGAGAAACAAGAAAAAAAAAAAAAGAGTGAGTGATGTGGTTGTTAATGCTGTACATCAGCAACATATAAATTATATAAAGGCTAACAATAACAACAGTCTAAAAATAAAATAGATTATATTTTGCCCCATCCTAGATCTCTGGCTGGACTGCAAACGAGCTGGTGTATGCGTTACATCCGAATAAACAACTGCTTGTTCACCATATTTAGTTAAAAAGTGATGTGTCAGTGTGGGGAACGCTGGTTTCCGATGCCCAGGATCCACATTATTGCAGGTGCAAGTGTATCTGCATAAAGCAGTAATTGTGAATTTCAGTTGGACTTCACTTGGTTAAATGGTTTGAGAAACAGGTGCAGCAAGAATGACAGTAGAGGACAGTAAGAGGCCATTAACCCTGCACAGCTCTCTTACCTTAGCTTGTACAGCATACGATGCCAGCAGAACAGACGCTTCCGGCGAACAGAAAATCTCTTCATCTAATATCTGTTTTTTCACCTAAATGACAGTTTGAAGACATGTATGAACATGTATTGAACCAAGTTTTTGATTTGCTTTTCTATAACATGGAGATGAATCCTACTCGCATGTAAAGAGTGCCTGTACAATAAGTCCAGGCCAACGATTATTTTACGAGAAATATTATGAGCTGTATTACCTGTAAGAAGAAGAGGTGCTGAGTAATTTCTTGGACCAGTTCCTCTTCTACTTTTTCTGGGAAGAATTTAGCTAGAAAATTAAATGTTATGGGAGAGTCCTTGGGAACCTCTTGGTCCAAAACCTTGGTGAACAAATAGAAGAGTAAGAGTAGAGACAAAGAATGCAATAATGTGTTTATTAGACTACAATTCTCACAAAAGCCAGAGTGTCATGTCCTCAGAAGTGAAACTAGTAATGAGCAACACTGAATTAGTTGATCTACTGATAATTTAGCAATAATAATAATAAAATAATAAATTAACTACCAAAGTAATTTATCAAACAAAACAACAAATGTTAACTCTCAGAGTGAGGACTGTAAACTCAATATATCTTTGGGTTTTGGTATGTCAGACAATAACAATTTGAAGGCGTCACCCTTGATTCTGGGAAACTGAATCCTGCTAGGTTCTGACACTTTATCAAACAAACACTTCTTTGTTTCATTAAAAATAATTCATGGATTAACTGTTTAACATACAAGTTCAAAAGCATGGTGCATGAATTATCTTTCACATCATATAATGTTTGTGAATCTCTGTTAGCCTGTCTGACCACATATTCACTCTACCACTCACCTGCTTCTCTTGTTTCAGCCAAGCATAAGTGTCCTTCACAGTGTACCTGAGTCCAAAGAACCAGGTCTCCCTCAGTCCAACAGTGCGACACACCAGGTCAAACAAGTCTTTCCCTTTCCACTTCACCTAAGAAAAACATTAAACAACAAAGACGCAAGTAGTTGGTAATCCTGAAAGGTAATGTGTTGGTTTGCAGTTGCTGCTAAGTACTGATATCCAGTAACTTTATAGGGTACTGACAGGATACTAGGTATGTCTTTGTCTTTGACTGCAACAATAAAATATGTAAAAAAGGAACAAAGGAAAATGTTTAACTCTTTTGTGTAGCACACAGGTGCTAGAACTTAAATACTTATAAGGCATTTGAAAAGTCTGCATACAATGGTTTACGCATATATAGATGGTGACTATTTATAGGAAAGTCCTTAATATGCAGAGCGGCAGATTAATGTATATCATTATTTGATTATAATTATGGTATTATTATACAGCTGGTAAAGGTGAAGCTAATGTGGGGTAGCCTTTGAATTTCCTTCAAGGATCAATTTTACTGTATTTTGTTTATTGAATCTGATTTTGAAAAGTAAAGTTATCAAACAAATGTAGTGGAGTTAAAAAGTGCCACACTTGCATCTAAAATTTAGTGGTCTTAATATGAGGTGCCAATAAATCAAAGTACTGAAGTACAGATACCACAACATTGTTTCATTTTCCACCACTGCATACAAAATGTGGACATACACTCAAAGAGAGAGATGAAGCATCCTATCACAACCACAGGTTGCCTAAATAAAGCCATACCTCACAGCTAAACTCCATTTCAGCGTCCATGGTGACAACTTTGACTTTGAAAGTCTTGGGCTGTTTCTTCTTTAATCCCAAGATTGACATTTTGAGGATGCTGCTGTCAAAGAAACCTGAAGAAAAACAATACAAGTATTTCAAAGGCAGAGCTGCTTTCGGGGGGAGAAATGTGCTTAGTAACGAAAACCGCTAATTTTACTGTAATTAACATCTTTAAACTTTAGGAGAGCATTAAACCACTGTTCAACCAGCTAATGTTATTGGGTCATGTTTCTGGAAATTCGCTATCAGGAAACAAGGACTTAATGTCAATCACGGTCTTATAGAAATAAAATAGGACTGCGTTACTTCATTAAATATAACATGTATTGAAAATACAGATAAGGCCCATTACCAGGGAGTAAAGTTACAAACTTCTGCCGTCCAACAAGACTCAGAAGAGGCTGGGCGTTCTGTTGGGAGACCAATGCTAAGCTAGCTGATCCTGTTAAACAGCGTTAGCTTTACAGTTACTCCTCGAAAACGAACCAAAGCAAGTAGCCGAAAGAGCGGAACTTGTGAGAGTTTTCCATAATGAAATGCACCAAACGAACGGCCTTTTAGCTATGAACACTTTAACACGCTTCAGCTTGCCAACATGCTAGCTTGCTGTTAAAAGGTCGGGGCGACTTTCCAGAAGTTTTTTGTTTTGACTCCCGGACACTCTACAGGTGGGAACATGAACAGCAGATTGGGAAAACGCCACTGCGCATGTGCAGGCTTTTGGAAGCACGAATGCTCCCTTCAATGGTTGTGGGAAATGTTGCCTATCGAGGCATTTAGGGCAGAGACTATGGAAGCCGTAACTACGACATTTATCTGACTACCAAATATAAAAATACTACACCAAAGTAATAAAACATACAGGCAAAAAGCGCGAATGTGCCACGGACCTCTCTGTCCCTGTCATTTTTACTGAGGTAACTGAGGGCCATTAACTTAAACAACGTACCTATGCTTCCTGGTCAATTTTGTTCTTGTAACTAACTACCAGTGTCTGTAGCAATTATCTAATGCTGTTCCATTTATTAGGGAAATAGCTGGCGAACCAAGTTTTATCAGATTGTGAACCTGTGAAGGAACTAGCTGGAAAAAAGGGCAGGCCTTTATAAATAAAGTTATCGCCGTCTCCACACTCACATAGTAGGCTATGTAATCCTTTTTCTGCAAATGATAAATCATACTCAGAAAGTAGAACTGCATTCATTACAAGATGATTAGTTAAAACATTTCAAAATGCACCTTTGTTGTTTTGCATTTTGTGACTTTCAGTCGAATAAAAGACTTTTTCCAGTTGTATATTTTGTCACTGAAGATTATTTTAGAAAATATTGTTAAAATATTGCGAGTGGAGGAGACAGTTGACACCATTGTTTAGTTTGTGTTCCAGAATAAATTTATTCAAGTTGGGATCATACAAACCTTAACAGAAAAAACACAATGTAGTACATTTAAAATCATAAAGTTTGTTCCAATAAATAAGAGAGATTGTAGACTCCATAGAAATGTAAATTAAGTCAAACTAGACAGTGATGTGACACCATGAAGCATTAGATGATTTTCTTCAGTTGATCGAACAACACCAGCACAAAGGCACCGCCCATGCCTCTGAGCACATTGGACCCAGCTCCCTTGAAAAAACCCATACAACCCTCATCATGTGCAATCTTAAGCCAGCAGTCAATGGCCCCACGGTACATGATGTCAGCTGAGGAAGATAAAAGACCAGAAATACAGTCACAGAATCAAAAAGAGTTTTATGAACTGTGGATTCGAGTGGCTGTACACATCAGTAATGTTTATTCAGCTGTATTCGCTAATTGGACTGCAAAGGCTTTCATTAATACAAATTCACCTTCTTTGCGTCCAGATTGCATCATCATACGTCTACGGACCGTGTCGAAGGGGTATGACATCTGGCCAGCAACAACTGTCACTGTCTGTGCAATCATCCAGCTCACCATTATATGGGCGTTCTCGGGGTCTGTAAGCATACCTAGAGTATAAAGAACAAAATAAAGACTATACATCGGATTTGCAGAGTTTTTTGAGAGAAAAATATGTGAAAATATGTAAAACTCACTGTACCCTTAGCTGTATCATAGATGCCAAAATATGCAGCCCTGTAGATGACAATGCCCTGCAAAGACACATTGAAGCCCTGGTATAAGCCTCTTACACCATCAGACTTGAAGATCTTCACCAGACAGTTTCCAAGACTAGTGAACTCTCTTTCAGCTCTTGTCTTTCCCACATCAGCAGCCAGCCGAGTGCGAGCAAAGTCAAGAGGGTACACAAAAGAAAGAGAGGTAGCTCCAGCGGCACCACCAGAGGCCAGGTTACCAACAAAGTACCTCCAGAACTGGGTGCGCTTGTCAATGCCATTGAGGAAGAGTTCCTTGTACTTGTCTTTGAATGCAAAGTTGAGGGCCTGGGTAGGGAAATATCTGATAACATTAGCAAGGTTACCTCTCCAGAAGGAAAGCACTCCTTGCTCCTTGGGGATACGGACAACACAGTCAATGAAACTCTTGTACTGTTTATTCACAGTGATCTGCTTACTGGCATGCTGAACCTGGAATAATCAAAAAGAAAGAAAAAAAATCGGAGGTCTTGTTTGGTCACATGTTACAGCTATAGATGTGTTTTAAAACTGCCCCACCACAGAAGCCTCAAGTTGAACACGCTGACAAACAAAATGCTATTTTAGAATGATGAGGCTGGAATTAAATCACTTTTAAAGCAATGATCTCAACTGTACTTTTGGACAGTCCTCACTTGTAATACCACAGCCTATACCAAAACAGTGTAAACAGATTTAAAGCAGATTTAAAGCACTGTCCCACTAAACCTATCTATTTATCTAGTGTTAGATAAAATGTGACAGGTGGATATTTTAGCATTAAACACATTTCCATTCATCCATACAAGGCTGAAAATGTGTACAATTGTGCAGGTGTGACTATTAAGGTGGCTGGGCAGTGTACATTAATGTTAAGCATGCCATTCTGCATAATGAGTACTTTTACTTTTGGTACTTTAAGTACACTATAAGCCCTATTTTGAAGCTAATAGTTTTGTACCTATGCAACATTTTGAATACAGGACCTTTACTTGCAAGAGTATTTTACATTGTGGTATTACTAGTTTTACTTAGTCTAAGTAGGCCTAAACAATGTGAGTAGGCTTCTTCCACCATCACTTCCTATTTGTAAAAGATGCACATTATGGAAACGTGAACGTAATTAAGGGAATTGGGACTCACCCTATAAATCATTGTGTCGTTGGCAACAGCTAACAGCTAACCAGGAAGGCTGGTTTTCGAGTAGGAGTTTTATCAACTTATCAAGCTTTAAAGCCGGGAAAACTGATTGCTCTCAATCTGAAGAACAGACAATAGCTAGACTTCATGATAGGATGCTCCATGTGCTCTCTCAAACCTGCTGTCCCAGTTGTATATTCTGTGCGGTTTTGGTCGCATTTCCTTCTATTTTCTCTCCTTACTCCAGCAGTGACTTCACATTGGTTAATGTTATTATGTCTTCTATTTGGACTAAGTCCTCCCTCTCCTCTTCCTACAGTATTATCTGATTTAAGCTTTACGTAAATGTGACACTCACTGCAAATTAAAATTGTCTGGTTCTGGCTGAGAACTGTTTGTTTTACCAAGAGTCCATTCACCTTCCAACCTATCAAAATCCAGACTACAGCACCTGTTTGACTGCAGTTTTACCTGAAGGAGGAGTTTCACTCTCTCGATGGGAGCGACGAATGTTTCAACAAGAGCAGCGGCGATGCCACCGGCCAGGAAATTCTTGGCGAAGGAAGAAGCTTCTTCTCTCATGGTGTTATGTTCTTGCTGTATCAGGTAATACACGTTATAGTAGCCGTACAGCGGTGATGTGACTTTTAAGTTGAATATTGGACAGTCAGCATTCACTCCGGATCCCGCGGTGTTTTGTTACAGCAGGTGTACCCTCCTGGGTTTGCAATATGACCACGGTTGGCATACATGTACTGTATCTTTCGCACCTAACCTGTGGGTAGCGACCATCAATAAATTACCAGTGTATACATATCCTGTTATAACCAGCGACCACTAATTTGCTCTCTTTTACTTCACGTAAAACGTTTCAATAGCTTACCTGTAATGTCACGCAGCATAAATTATACTGTAATATGACGCCTCTTTTGTACTCGATTTTAATTAGTTCTCTTGAAAAATGTTATAACTGTAGCCCTTTTGAAATAGAAAATTGAATTTTTCAGAAGCTTATACATCATATGACCTTGTGCATCATAATTTTTTTTTTAAATGTGTAAGTAATCACATGGCCCAACAAGCCCAGTCCTCTTTATACTATTATCTACTTTTTTAACCAACCAAATGGGATTTACAACATTTCGGAGGGTTTATCTAGTACTTATGACTTACTCTCACATAATTAGGCTACAAGAAAAAAATAGGAGCTCAGGAACCTCTGAGAAAACATCCCATAATTACGAGATAAATTACAAATAGTGCAGCAACAGGAAGCTTCAGATCTTACCTGACAATCATGAGGCTTTAAGATTTCTTCAGTATCAAAGTCATTTAGCTATAGTTGTCTGTACAACTAAGAGTACATCACAGTTATTATCTATGTTCTTTAATAAAAGATGATCATTCTTTGTGGTTTACTTTTCCTTCTTATACTGCACAGTATATTTAAACATGTCTGGAATTGATTTTCTTTTAATTTGTGCTTTTGATCCGTAAAAAACTTCCCATTAAGTTATGTTACCTCAGTTGTCTTCTGACTCAAAAGGCAGAACATTGACAGCAGTGACACAGTTAAACCACGTTTATTTGAAGAATATGGAAAGATGAGAGCTGTGGAAGTAACAGCTGGATGAGAGGCTGGGGCAGAATGGCTGATAGGGAATTTGTGTAGTCAATGGCTGAATTACATTATTAGCTGGAGGCTGGGCTGGGCGAGGCATGCGGGAGTCAAATGCTTGACTGTAGAATGGGTTACAGGTGTCCAGGTGTACTGGTCACAAGCAGGCTGCAGCACCACACCAAGACAAACAAAACAAAATTGCAGCAAGAAAGAGGACACATGGGACGAGTAATAAAACAGCAAAGGGAGAGCAGCTGGGACCATGACAGTGTTACTGTATTGGGAACTTTACAAAAATAATTTCACACAGCATAACTATTTGGAAGAATAAATTATATTTTACAAGGAATCTGTGGAGAAAAATTCAGACCACAATATATTTAATAGACAACAGTGGCAACGCTGTACAATCCAAAAAGGCCAGACAGTCATCTCTGGCATCCTCACATTAAGTGGTGAAAGCTATTTGCACGGATCAAATGTGGTAAAAGAGGCCATCCAGTATAATCATTTCTTGAACTGCTTTTGTTGTTGACAACATTAAGTTCTTTGGCATAAAATATAATGACAAATTATTAAGAACAGCTATCACAAATGATTGCTTTCCTCTTCCAGTTAAAGAATTTACAAAATGTATAATCAAAATAAGAACAAGATACCTGTCATTTCTTTTATGTCCAAAAATAAAACAAGTTAATTTTTCTTTATGACAAAGATACTGAAACTCATCACTTGTTTTACACCTGTGAAGTTATCAAAATCTTATGGGAGAGCTCACATAGATGGCTGGACACCAAAAGAAGTCCCTGATCATAGTCTAGGGTAAATGTAGCTATTTGAAAGTCACCACAAAACTTCCAGCCTTTGAAAATTATTTGCAACTTCATTTTAAAGCTCTACAGATATTCAAATACAAATTCTACATACAAATACATTAAGATTAGGCTACTTGATCAGAAATCAAATGTAGGGATATTAATACGAATCATTAAGTAATTAGTATTAATAAAATATAAAATGATTTTACACATTCATCCATTTTATATTTAGATGTAATTACTTGCTTGCATTTTACTAGACTAGATTTTTTATTATTTATAATTAATTTGCTGTGTTTTGATTATTCATTGTATGTCTGATTCAGACGCTTGCATGTCTGCATGGTGGTTTTGGGTTGTTTCGGTTGTTATAATAATAATCTTGTTCAACTTCCGGCGCAACGTGACGTCATCCGGAAATCTGCTGCATTAACCAATCACATGCGTGCAAATGCGCATTCTGGTGTAATACTTTGCAACGTGGATGTTGTTTTCTGCTGTTTACCTCAAGATCATCACCAGTTAAGACACGAGTCTTTTACAGGTCGACATTGTACAAAGATAAGAATTAAACTGCCAGAGGTTGAGCCAATTAAAAAAAACAAAAACAAACTCCAGGCTGTGTATAGAAGAAAAAACAACAAGACAGCAACCAACAAATGCAACAAATTTTATTTAATACTTAATTACAATGTATGAAAGTATAGGTTGGAAATAGTATGTTAACTTGATGTCCAGTCAGTGAAGTGAGAATGGAGGAGGTGAGGGTTAGAGCTACTTTAACTTGCAAATTTTTTTTTTAAATACTTACAAAAATATATATATACGAAGCTGCTTGGGGACAGGATGTCTGTGCCTTCAAGTAATCAGATGGCCTATTTTACATTTTAACACAGACCTGTTGGCCTGTTTTGCAGGCGATTACTAATCATTAAGTACTTAGTATTAATTAATAAAGTATAATAAAAAAAAATTTACACATTCATCCATTTTATATTTAGATGTAATTACTTGCATTTCACTAGACTAGATTGTTTATTTTATTTATAATTATTAATTTGCTGTGTTTGGGTTATTCATGGTATGCCTGATTCAGATGCTTGCATGCCTGCATGGTGGTTTTGGGTTGTTTCTAGGTTCTAATAATAATAATAATAATAATAAACCTAATTCAACTTTCGATGACGTCACCCGGAAAGCTGCTGCATTAACCAATCACATGCGTGCAAATGCGCATTCTGGTGTAATACTTTGCAACGTGGACGTTGTTTTCTGCTGTTTACCTCAAGATCATCACCAGTTAAGATACGAGTCTTTTACAGGTCAGATACACTTCATATTTAAAATCCTGTCTGTGAGTAGTGCAAACCACTGTTCTGCTTCTGGTCGTCTAATAGTGGTAAACACATAAATCCGTCCCTTTAACTATACTTCCGGGATCGTACTGTCACTTAACCGAGACGAACGGCAGCTGGTGGCAATGAAAGGCACAATTAATGTAGGATGCTCACAACCTTTCCAACAGCCTTCACAGTCTGCTCAGAAATTCACAGAAACGCTTACATCCTTTTCGATCTGTATGGTTACCTTGTCCTACCTATAGGTGCATCTCAATAAATTAAAATATCGTGGAAAAGTCCATTTATTTCAGTAATTCAACTCAAATAGTGAAGCTCGTCTATTATACAAATTCAGTACACACAGACTTGAGTAGTAGCCGTTGGGTCTTTTAATTTTGATTATTTTGGCCCACATTTAACAAAAACCCACCAATTCACTATCTCAATAATTTAGAATACCTCATAAGACCTATTAAAAAAAACATTTTTAGTGAATTGCTGGCCTTCTGGAAAGTATGTTCATTTACAGTATATGTACTTAATACTTGGTTGGGCCTCCTTTTGCTTTAATTACTGCCTCAATTCGGCATGGCATGGAGGTGATCAGTCTGTGGCACTGCTGAGGTGATATGGAAGCCCAGGTTTCTTTGACAGTGGCCTTCAGCTCATCTGCATTTTTTGGTCTCTCATTTCTCATTTTCCTCTTGACAATACACCATAGATGCTCTATGGGGTTCAGGTCTGGTGAGTTTGCTGGGCAGTCAAGCACACCAACACCAAGCTGGTCAGCAGAAGGAAGCATGAGGTGCTCTAAAATTTCTTGGTAAACGAGTGCAGTGACTTTGGTTTTCAAAAAACACAGTGGACCAACACCAGCAGATGACATTGCACCCCAAACCATCACAGACTGTGGAAACTTAACACTGGACTTCAA